GCCCATGTGAGCAAGGATACAGAATAAAGGAAACTTCCATTACTCGTGGGAGTCCAAACTTGTACAGTCACTTTGGAAATCAGTATAGAAGTTCTTTCAAAATCAATCTCTCTCAAGATCCAGAATTACAACTCTTGGCCATTTATCCAAAGGACACTTTATACTATCACAAAGATACTTGCTCAATCATGTTCACTGCTGCTTTGTTCATAACAGGCAGAAATTGCAAACAACTTAGATGTCCCTCACCAGGAGAATGTATAAAGAAAATATAATGTTTTTTTTCAGAACTGAGTATTACTCAGCGGTTAAATAAAAATGATATCATGAAACTTGCAGGCAAATGGATGGAATGAGGAAAAACATCATCCTGAGTGAGCTAACCCAGACCCTGAAAGATGTGCTATGTATTCACTGATATGTGGATATTAGCCATCAGGAAAACACTTACAAAATTACAATCCTTAGACCCTAAATATCTAGGAAAAAATAATGGACTAAGTAGAGACACATATATTCTCCTGCGAGGAAGAAATGAAATAGAAATGTGTAGAGTTGGGGTGAGAGGATTAGGTCAGTGTCAGGGGAGATAGGTTAGAGGGAAGTAATGAGGAGAGGCAGCCAGAATTGAGGAGTTTCCAGAGGTATTATGAAAACATAGTGCAGTGGAAACTTCCCCAAATTAAGAAGACTATCCTAGTAAAGTCTCAAAATAATTAGGGAGACAAATTTCCAACTCATCATTTCTTGTCAACAAAGAAATATTTTACTACAGAAAATGTTTACAATTGTGTTGTTGGCCAAAGGCATCCCATGGGAATCAAACAACTCGTGCTTTCACAAAGAAAATAGATTGTTCTTCACAAACTGACAACACAGCCCCATTGCTGAAGACAACAGTTACATAACTCATTAAATGTGGCAAGGCTGATTTAGTGCCTGCAAAGAAACTTCACTACTGTGTCCTAGTGTCTTTGGTCTGAGAAGGTAATCTGCAAGTTACTAAAAGAAAATGTTAAGCACCAACTCACACACAATCCATTTTGATCTACACTGCTGTTCTTACTAAAGGATGTGTTAGGAAAATGGTAACATATATCTTGTAGGAGTAGCAAACCAATGTCTGATTTAACTTATGTCACACTATAGAACATGGAACCTACTTGGGTGACTAAGAAGCAGGGACTAGACAATACAGAGACCAATGTTAAAACTAAAAACTAGTGATCTTAAAAAAAAAAGAGTTAGTGATAAAATGACTCCTGATGTTATTTTGTTGTATTCATAGATTCAGTGCCTTATTCATACAGCATCAAAGAAGTTTCCTGTGCAGAAAATCGAAAACATATAAAAGACCCATAGCCTAACATTACTCCGATAGGGATAGAGAGCTTGGAACACACTGCTCTAAATGGGATGTCTCTATCTTATCTCTATCAATTCTTCCCCTTTGAGCTCTGGAGACTCAATGGAAAAGGAGCCAGAAAGAGTGTAAGAGACAGAGGAGATGGAGGATACCAAGAGAACAAGTAAGTTTCTTAGATTCAACTGAGAAAACCTCATGTGCACTCATAGAGAGTGATGGAGCAAGCTCAGGGCTTGCACAGGTCTGTACCAAGGTCCTTTGTGTATATATTAGACATCTCTCCTTAGTGTTTTTATGGGACACCTGAGGGTGTGAATGATAGGTTGTCTGATTATTATGCCTTTTTTTAAAAGATCTTTTCCTTTTGTTGGGTTAACTTGTTCAACTTTTATGTGGTGGCTTTTGTTTTATCTTACTATATTTTATTCTACTTTTTTATGTGTTGTTGTCATCTCCTTACATGTTTAATTATTTTTTGTATGATTTTTCAATGCCAATTATCTAATTTGTCTCTTAGGTAAGGTGATATATATTATGTTTCTTAAATAAGCAAAGTATTTATAGATTAGACATCAAAATCATTTATTATTTGATAACTAAATTTTTACTTTTATACAGGCAAATGTATATACATGCATACCATATACATTTTATTTGCATTTATGTTTTTAACTTCATAATAATTGCTTATAGTTCGTGGTAAGAGTTTTTATTAAATTTGTCTGTAATAGCATATGAAACCTAACTTAATTTTTAATGTCTTCGATGTCTTTATTACAAACTCTAGATTATTTTCTCCAGTCCTTTCAGAATGATCATTGCTAACAGCATTCACCAGGGAGGCTGTGGATTACTGTACGATAACACTTCTACTGAGGAGCACTATGTGTTGATCATTGAGTCAGCTAGTGACTGAAACAATGCCAAAATCATCAGGTGTGGCCTGCTGAACCATGGGATTTACCAGTGGTCTCTGTATGAAATTCTCAGGAATTTCAGGAACTATAATAACTTAAAGAGTGAAGGCTATCCTAAAGAAGGCAACTGCATTCTGCTCTTATTATTGCTTTGTAATCCCAGTGTTTTAATGTATAAAAAAGGAATTATCTATTCTGACCATCTTGATTTAGTGTAAATTCCAGTAAAATTAACATTTCTGACTCTAAACTACATGTCTGAAAAGTAATTACAACGTTGAAGCAGACAAGTTCTAAAGCCCATTCCAGTTAATAAGCATATATATTTCATAAAGACGTTCAACAAGTTATGCATCTGTCAAGTTTTAGCCAAGCCTGTTATTTCTCTGAAATTCATCTGTGTATAAAAAAAACCTAACTCTGCCAGGTAAAGATAGGTCTTTCTAACATTTGCCAACTGGTCACTAATTAGTTCCGAGAGTGTACAATCTATTTTGTATTCTAAGTTTTCATACCTGTATTGAGTAATACTAACTGAGGCTTCCATACTCCTTAGAAAACAAAACTCAAAAGTTTTTCTCAAGGATGATTTATAAAACATTAATTTTGGTCTCTAATTCTACAGGAAAATAAAAGAAATATCTCAAAGCCAAATGATAGATATATTGTCTTTTTTCCTTGTCAATTTCTCTTATTTTCTTAATTTTTAAATTAAAATATTACATATAATACACTTCATTGGATTCTTTCCCCAGACTCTTGCCCTCTTCTCCACCAACCCATCTTCATGTAAGGGATTTTTAGTAATCATCTGATCAGAATTGAGAGCTGCAAATAATCTTAAGTACATGAAGAACATAGCATGCTGTCAATCTATTCCCTCAACATAGCCATTGCAAGCTGTTATATAGTATATACAATGTACTGGCTAATATTAAAATTTAATATATTTTATGTGAAAAATCGGTAATAATCATGGAATAAATAATTGATTAACTTTTAATCCAATGTCTATAATTATTAGAACATAGAAACTAAAGAACTGATATAGACCAGGAAAAGAACTCAAAGCCAGACCGATTAATGATTTTCACAACGCCTAAGTAAATGAAGTCACAAGCAACCTTCGTTTTATGAAGGAAATGAAAGCAGGCTTCATTTTTAAAGCTGAAGTTTGCACACACAATGACTATGTGCCATCTTGTGGTCTGATGGAGAGAACACATAGTTCTGCAGGATGAAAGACTTAATGATCTGCTAAATGACTCCTCTCTGTCCTAGAACTGTTCTGAGTAGACATGAACATAACACTGCTTATGGTAGGTAGATCTGAAAAGCAACCTAAATACACCAGAAATTTTACTAACAATTTGTTTAATCTAACCCTAAATTTATTAGTTAATTTTGCTAAATTTAAAATTGTGCCTGTACTGACACATCAGCAATTAATAACACAAACTGCTTCTGCAGAGGACCAAGTTCTCCCAAGAACACCCATGTCACATAGCTCACAACTACTACTGATTCCAGCTGCCCTGAGTTTCTGGATTCCAAAGGCACCTGCACTCATATTGTATACATGTTGCCTCCTATCCCCAGACAAAATACATTCATTTAGCTGAAAATATAAAAAGATATTAAAAATAAATGAAAATGTATTCTATGCTGATCAAATGACATTCATATAGTATTTATTACAGCATAAAGTTAGAATGTACTCAACACTGAATCAAAGCATATTCATGTGGCTTATATCTTTTTTCCCTTTTTTATTTCAGTTAGAAACAAGCTCGTTTTTCATGTCAATCCCAGTTCCCTTGCCCTCCCCCCCTCGCCTGCCCCATCACCTTTCTGCTCCCTAGGGAGAATGAGGCACTCCATGGGGGATTTTGAAAGTCTGTCACAGCATTTGGAGCAGGGCTTATATCTTTATATTAGATTCGGTTGTAGAAAATAGTGAGGAATCCAAACAGACACCATTGTCATTACAAGTGGACAGACTTTATTAGATCCTGCTGAATTACTACTTGACTTTTTGGTCACATGGAAATTAGCCAAGCTCCTTCAAAGTAAATATTCATCTACACTTTTCTTCCTGGGTTACTTTAAACTACAAAATACACCATAACTAGATACGTTCTAACACAAATAGAGATTGTTGAGGACTATAAATCTAAACAAGTTCTGTGCTTCATTTTTCTCATAAAAGTAATCATGACAGTCAGCATGCCAATCATATATCAGCCAGCAATGCTGCTCTATTATACACACTTTCAAAAATGTGCTTCTCAAAAGAAGGAAGGAATAGTGAAACTCAGATTGGTTTCCTGCCCATAAGTATATTTCTGATATTTTTAATGTAGATATGATTTTCTCAGTAACATTACTTTCTAATGCAAAAAGTACACATTTCCCCATTTCCATTTTAAGTTGAAAAATGCTTCTGTTCAAAATATATATGCATTATATATATAAAATTTAAAATGTTTAAAATTGTCACTTGCTATTCATTTGCATTCATAAGTAGCAAAGGCAAATGCATTCAAATAAAACAGAAACTGGAGTTACAGTAAACATGCTCCTATATATTTATTTCTATGTGGAATGAATATACGATTATCTCAACTCTTCAGATACTTCGTTGTTGTTTTTTGTTTTTCTTCAAGCAAGGATGCAGAAAGAAGGCGTGGCCTTCAAATATTACATGATTTACTTACAATCAAGCCACTGTTTGCTTGCCTCTTTTCTCTGCCATCGATCGTTCTGTAGAAAATCCCACCTGGATTAAACTGAGTACTCCAGACAATCACATTTCTTTGATAATATACATCCATCCCTGTTATTCTTGAATTATGTTCAACATGAGAAATCTGCTGATGACCGCCACTGTAGTTGAATGGATATACAAAACCCAGGATGTCAGTGTCATTAGCTATGTAGATAGCGTGATCTTCAGAGCCTGCAGATTATTATAATAAAATACAAAATAGAGGAAATTTTAACTAGAGCAAAATAAATGATGTACTTTAAATTATCTTGAATTGTTATTATCTATACAGTTTCTCCCAAAGTGAAAATCAGCGTGTTTTATACCATTATTTGTTCTTCATGATGTTCGATTTCTGTTTAACACTATACTAAAGTAATCTATAGTACTCACAGTTTTTCTAAGTATGAAACTAATTTATATGCATAAATTAGGACTTTGAAAAGGATGTCTCTGATAAGTCACAACATACTGTGTCCTAATGTTTTGATTCTTGGTGTTTAGATGCTTTCCTATGTACTCATATAACTTAAAGCAACTCTGGATGTTTATTTAGTGGATGTACCTGAATAATTTCTACTTCTAGTTAAAAAGAAAATCAAGATAGAAAAAAGTACTTTTTCATGCGTACATACAACTTCGTATAACTTGAACTGTTGAAGCCTTTTTAGATTTTTTTCAGGGTTGGTAATTCAACCCAGGCCTTTGTACAAACTTCATCACTAAGTTAGATTCTGTCCTACTTTTTATCATTTAAACAGTTTCACTCTTTGTTATGATAAGATTTTGAAATTTCCTACTTTTTACAATCAAATGGAAGAGTATATCCTAAATTTTGACATCTGTAACAGACTAATAACATTTTCATATTGATTGAAAGATAAAACCATGTGAAAATAATAATTAAAATCTAAAGAAATTGAGTTGCATATACAGTTCTTGAAAATAGCCATGATACCAATAATAGCACATGTTGAAATGTAGTAGAACTCATCATGCTTATATACAAATGGTATGCCGAATTGTGTCACTTTCATTCACATTTTGAATCACTCAATTTGATAATATACAATGCATTTAATAGTCTTAATATTTCTCAGTGCTTACTATCTTTCGATATTGTGTTAATTCTTTCTTAATTTCTTACAGAAATCTTCATTTATAAATGAACTGAGACTTAGAGACCTTGATAACTTCCTCCAGGTCAGGTAGTGTGGAAACTGAAGTGATAGAATGTAAATTTAAGTACACCTAGAACCATTCCCATACATGATACACAACATCAAACTATTTTTCTCATGCAAATACAACTTATTAAGAATAACATGTAGCTGAGAATATTAAAGCTATGTGACTTTGTAAAACTACATGAGCAATAAAATCTATATATTCGGTAATCTACCACCCATACATGTTGTTTAAGTTTTTTCTTTTTAAAAAAACTGTATTAATAAGTTGAAAAGATATGAATTTAGTAATAAGATTCAAACTTTAAATAAAAGGTCCCACACAAAAAAGGTCCTCTCATTGTCATCCTAATCCTTATAGCTTCATTTGCATATAGTGGTACAATAATTTCTTACATTAACTTAAACAAAACCGTCATTGGAAACACTGTATTTAGGCAGCCAGACTTGTGTGTGAACTTTTAATTCAACTGACAAATGACTCCAAACATAAAGTAATTTTTTCTTCTATCTTTAAAAATTCTCTATGTAAGCCATTTTGACATAGTCTATTTAAGAAGCTAAGGTAGGGATCAAGTTCTAGTGGTAGACCACACTGACTTAATTCATATATTATAAAGAGCTCACGAAGGAGACTTTGAAAGTTTCCAAAACAAAGAAATGATATTTTTAATTAAATGAAAATACATTGCAGGTTTCAAAATAGAAAGTCACATTGGTTGCCATTAATAGATAAATATATCATATTACTATGAGTCTTTTGCTAAAATGCAAAATTTTCCCCATAAGATATTCATGACAAAAGTGAAATAGCTTTATAATTACCTTACCTTTTGCTACACAGCTGTTGTTTTTTTCTTGGAAGTTCTGGTCACAGACACATTTAAATGATCCTTGAGTATTTACACAGTGGTGAGAGCATACACCAAACACCAGGCATTCATTGAGATCTACGAGAGAAAAGCTCACAGTCCATCTTCACCATTGTGAGATAAGGACTATTATGAGAGCTAAATAGAAACTTTGAACACCCATCTGCAAATACACAGAGCTAAGCCAACAATAAGTTTAAAAAGCGATGTCTGTGATTTGAGACATGCCACTGAATTAAGGGCCTAAGTAGAGCTGAGAACTGCTAAGTTACAAGGTCAGGTGGAATATTGGCCGTACGTTTTCCTCCTCTACTCTCACGTATATCCCTCTGCTTCCTACATCTTTTGTATTTGCACTGATTATGTAATAAGACTTAAAGGTACATTCTTGTCTCAAATTAGCGTTGCCATGGTAGGGTAACTGTCTCTTGTTCAGCACTCTCCAAAGTTGAATGCTAGAAAGAGCCATTCTCAATGATACCTGCAGATGACACGGTGAAAGTTTCCACTCAACTTTGTATATTCTGTTGCCTATGCTATTACACTTCACCAAGGACACTTGAGACATGGTGTCAACAAGTTTCTGTGTTTGGGTGAATACATAAACAGAAAATGAGCATTTACTGTTCTTTAGGGAATATTATTCAGGCATGAAGCAAAATGTATTATATCAAAACATAATCATCTAAATTGTAACAGATTTTTTTGCTTTGTTTAGGGCATCAGCTGTTTCTACAGCTTACCTTTGGTAGAGTCTATGCTAAACCTGTGTAGTTCAATAAGCTTTTATCTCCCCATTTATCCACCTTAGACAACTTGAAAACCCTGACTTTTTAAAGTGGCATTCTGATTCCACACATGCATCATGACTACAGAGAATCAGTAAAGGATTTTCTGTTTCTCTTCTGTGTTCTGGACTTTCAACACTTTGGTTACTTCAACTAAAGTGTTGTAAAATTAATACAAAACAGAAAATTTTATACTCTTTTTATACAAGCTAGTGAAGGGACCTAACAAAATAGACAAATAAAAAAATCTCAAAATCATGCTTTTTTCTCTTCAATATCAAATGGAAATTGTTTTCTTTGCTATTAAAATGTATTTATTGTAGACACAAATTTAATTAATGTTAGAATTGACTTGCATATATAACAAAAGCATATAGAAAGAAGGAAAATATGGTTATTTTAAATGACAAATTATAGTTGTGGTCATATTTCCCTTGCAATAGAATAAAATGAGAAAATATTATGAACAGAATTTCTAAAGTTAGTAAACCTACTTTACGCTGGAAACAGCCTACTATTCAGATAACTTAGGTAATTAATATAATTAGAACTAAAGTCAGAAGACAGTCTCTCTTTCGTTATATGTGTATATATTACATGTAACTGATAGACACAGTAAGAAAAAGAAAAATGGTTTTAAATAAAATAGAGAAAACTTAGTTTACCAAGTTTATAGTACCACAAGGTAATAAGAAAAGAAGTCACATGAACTGACTACTCAAAATGTATAGAAAGAGACCATTTATCGTTTGTGTGAGTAAAATGAATTATTTTTTCATATTGCCTGATAAATTGTAAAGTCATTTTTAAACAAGGAATTTAAAGAGATAGGAGCTAGAAGAAAAATTATTTTATTATGTTTATGGGGCTATGGAAATGGCTCATTGGATAGAGTGATGGACATTCATGAGAACCCCAGTTTAGATGCCCAGGCTATACATAAAATGCTAGTCAACACAGAACACACCTGTAATTCCAGAACTTGGAATAGAGAAGAGGATTCCTGAGGCTTGCTGGCTAACCAATCTAACCAATTACTGAAGTTCAAATTCAATAAGAGATTTCATTTCACACAAACAAGGTGGAGAGACACAGCGGGATGATGTTGATCTCTAGGCTCCATGTATGAACAAAGACTCATATACGTACATGAAACAAAATTATTTTAAAAACTAACAAAAGAACTTCTATTTAACATGAATATGCCAGACAGATACCTGAGATTATCTCAAATTATAATACCATGTGAATGGGTACTATAAATGCTTTTACCAGAGAAAATTGCAAAAAAAATGTATACATTTGGTATTCGTATATAACTTACTCAATATTCCCTCTTTACTACATGCAAAATTTTTACATGATAACAATCCAGTTGACAACAAATCATTTAGACAGTGACTTAGAGTTTTTAAAGTCATATTATAACGGATTGTTTAAAAAATGATGCTAGGACAAAAGCTTACAAGTTTCTCAAAGTAAATTATCTGTCACAGCATGACAAATGCCACTGTCAAGAGAAATGAATCTTCTAAAACATATTTTTTCATGAAAGGAGTCTAATACTCTGATAGTTCTTAACCAATAAATTCATCATTTGCATTTCAAAACAGAATTGCTGTGACACAATTGAAATTCCTGCTGGTGTGAATTTGTTCCCAGAAGCTTTGTAGTCTCAGGGGTGGTTACCTTAGCTGTGAAAACAAACAGGCTCATTGCCACAGATCTCTCTCTCTCTCTCTCTCTCTCTCTCTCTCTCTCTCTCTCTCTCTCTCTCTCTCTCTCGTGAAACGGTAGCCCATGGATATACAAAGCTTTTATGAAAATCACTCCCTTGTTACCTTACCACTGAGCAGCCTTGGGAATCTGTATAAGCCAAGGAGTTGAACATTTGAGTGCAAGCTTTTGAGGAAATTTACTCTACCTTCACACTGCCTGCTTTTCATGTTTCTCCGAAATCCAGGCTTGCAGCGACAGAAAACAGATGTTTTTATTTGATTACAATATGCATCATCTCCACATGGATTCCCATTGTCCTCACAGGTGTGGTCACTGAGACCTAGAATTCAAGGATAGTAGAATCAAAACTAAGATGACTCTGGTTTTTACTTGGGAGTTTATTTTTTAATTTGAAATTGTGTTTATTACATGGAAAATTTCTATTAAAGATGCTACTTTTCTTTGCATTCTTATAAAGTGAAAAGAAAAAGACTGAACTCATTAAATAGAGCAGAGAACAGCTGATGATGCTGACATTACAGCTGTTGTCAAACCACACTACATTCTAAAACTGAGTAATGAGTCTGTGGTTGTCCTCAAAACTCAGCATCAGAAAAATATTTACCTAGCCTCCATCCTTCTTCAAGGGCAAGAACCTCTCCTAGAAATGACCTTAGGATTGTTACTACTTCCCTACAGATCAATCCATCATCGACTAACATGTTACTCCAGTCTAAAGACTAAATTTACAGCTTCATTCAGGACATACTAATAAAAAGCAACATCAGAGTGGAAAACAAGGTTACAAACTTATTAGAACAAAGCAAAGCATCCCTGCAATTTTAACACAGTAGTTTCAATGTCATTTCTTATCTTCCTGTAGGGAAAGTATTTTAAAATGCAAATAAACCAGATGAGTGTTATTATGGAGTAAACAAAGTGGTGTGTCCAACATGTATCAACTGATCAAATTTCAGAAAAGATTACAATATTAAAAATTAAATTTGAATGATATATCCTTGCTGATACTCACAAAATTTCCAATTAATTAAAATATAATCTAAGATATTCATGGTAAAATTAAAAGGTTCTACCTCATAGTCATAAAATTAAGTGATGGTTCAAGTAATGCTACTTCAGCAAAGTACACTGTGAAGAATTGTCCCCCTACAAGAGTAATTTCATGTTAGAACAGCTGCCTTGCTCTACTCCCTTATTAGAAACTGCATACTCTTTGTGCAGCCTTGTTCATCTGAACCGTCTCCACAGTCATCGAGCCCATCACATTGCAGCTCCATGGGGATGCACATTTTGTTACCGCAAGCAAACTCATCCTTCTTACAAGGCTTGGCTTTGGATAACAGTTCACCTGTGTAATCATTGACAAAGTGGGTTAGTCAGTATTTCATACCATAAAACTGAACATAGTGACTGAGCTCACAATGTGCTCTAGAATACACTAAATGCTATGAAAACATGGATATTATATCTCAAAGTTTAAGTTCTAGGACCTACATCAAACAGATTTTCAGAGTTTTGGAATTTAGAAAAAAATTAAATATTTCCTATATTAAATGACACACAGGTTTGTGATAAAAATGTATGAATATTTCCCAAGCAGATTTTTAAAATAATGTATACATATTTTTATTTCTTGTTTTAAATTTCATATACTATATTTTGATCATATTCATTCTCCTTCCCAACTGCTCCCAGATCTTTTCTACCTATTTACCTGCTCAACTTCATAATCTCTCTATTATTTAAATGAACAAATAAATAACAAAACAAGATAAAAGAAAAACAAAATGTCCTGTTTGTCTTGGCCAATAATTCCTTAGCATGGAGCCTGCCCTGGGGTGTGCTTGATATTTTCAATGTAACTTCTTTGAATATAATGGACTTTTCCTCTTCCAGCAGCTATCAATTGTGCATTTCCTGTTGACTTGTAGAGGGATTTCCACTCCCTGGAACTCTCTGTGCTTTGATTTTGTCTTGCTTGAGCTCGTGTAGAACTTATGCATGCTGTCATGGTCAGAGAGTTAACATGGACATATGCACCATTGTCTGGAAAACACTGTTTCCCATAAGTCACCCATCACCTCTGCGTTTTACAATATTTCTATTTCCTCTTGCACAAAGATCTCTGTCTTGAGAGGGAAAGCATGTTATGCACAACCTACTTTGAGTTGATCATTTTGTTTTCTCTTATTATCTGCATATTGATTAGTTGTGGGTTTCTATATTAATCACTGACTATTCTAATAGAAACTTTTCTGGAGAGGATTGAAAAATGCACTGATCTTTGGGTCAATATCGTATTATATTGTTATGTGCATTTAGCACAATTATGGCAGTGGTTTCACCATCACATCCATGGCCTATCCAGCCTCAAATTCTTAACCTTCTTGAGAATATTAGTAATGAGTACTGCCTGGTAAGTTGAGCCATAAGTCTAATTTTCAAAAGTGGTAAGTTACTTTCATAACTTCTGTGCCACTGTAGCTCCAATGGTCTTACCTTGTCAGTCTGGCCATTATTGTAGCTTTAGATTTAACATCTATATATTGGTTGATGATCAGTTTTACTGTTGATAGTATTCGTAGTACTGTTCACTACTATGAAAGTTATCCAGTAGGATGAAGCTTCCAGTTGGATACCAGATATATTTTTACATGTTTTCTCATTCAAGTATGTGTTAGCTTCAGCAATACTGTCTCACTATCAAGTTATGGAGTGTAACTCATAGCATTGGCAATAAACTATAATTTGGTTGTGTGGGGCAGGGTCTATGGGAAACCATGGATCAACAATTCAAAAATATATAACATGTTCCTGGTATTAGGTATTTTGTTCAGTAGCATCTGATATCTGGTTGGGTATTGTCCATTTTCATTATATGTTGACTCCATTTAAACTCTTTTTATGAGGGTATACATTTTAATAATCTACAGTAGTATGTTTTTTAAATAAGTTTTGCAATGATTTTTGGGGTAATTGAAACAAAGTTTCTCTGTGGCTGGCTGTCCTGGGACTAGATCTTGTAGACCAGGCTGGTCTGGAACTCCCAGAGATCCACCTGCCTCTTCCTCCTGAGTTCTGGGATTAAAGGCTACCACTGCCCAAGTAATTAGGTCTTTTGAGCTGATTCAGACATTCTTAAATGAAGTTGAGTCCCGTATGATCTCTGAGTCATCTTTGTTGCACATGAACCACTGATGCAGGAACTCTTTGTATCTAAGATTTTAAGGAAAAGCTAATTTACACATAATTTATACAAACTGTCTCACCTCCATCTCTGTTTTTTGACAAGTAATTTTTTAAACCAAGTTGTTTCTCTGATGATACTAATATTTTCTTGATTGAAGTGATTTAATGGGAGACTTTAGATAAAGCCAGAGAGATATTTTAATGCAGATGAAATGTTAGGGGTTTACTTTCACATTGCTGTTTCAAACTCTGGTGCCAGGAAAATGGCTTTTATGCATCCACAGCAAATTCTTTGCTATAATTTAAATACTAAATTCATTCTACCATCTTTAAACATGCTCCTAAATCCACATTTTCAATTCAACACTCTTACCGCTGCAGTGATCTTCATCTGAGTTGTCCCCACAATCATTAATCCCATTGCACATTTTCTCAAGTTGCAGGCAGATTCTATCATTTCTGCATCTGTGAGGCCTTGTGGGTGGGCAAAGAAATTTGACTGAAAGAACAATAACAGAAGAAAAAAAAAGACAAAGTGACATCTTCAGGCTCATTGTCTTATTAAGAATGTACTTTGTTTTTAAAACGGATAATCTATCTTTTGTCTTGAGCTGGTAAATGGATAATCTTGGATTCTAGAAAAACGATAGGCCTTTATATTCAAGTTACTAACCACAGAAGAGTGCACAGTCGAAGACTGTAAATGGGGTAAGGAACGAAGCAAGCTTCATGATCTGATTTGCTGTTCTGATCTCACTAGATGTATAACAGGATAAAATATCAACCTTTGACCTAGGTTCTTTATACACTCTGTTTTTTTTCCATATATTTTTTATTTAACTATTTATGCATGTCATTTTCAGTTCCCTCTCCCTTCCCTCCTCCTGTTCTTCGGTATTCTGTCTCTAAATCAGAAGGTATCTCTAATTACTACTCCTATGCAGATATATGCTGGGTTCTGTCCCTGGTGCTCAATCACTACCTCTTGAATTCTTCCTCAGTTATGCTCATTGATTTACAAATAAGTGCTAAATCGTGTCAGTTTTCTTCCTAGACCTGTGATCTGAAACCTGACTAGAAGTATGATCTATTTAAAGGATTTTAAATTCAACAAATTCACTACTCCACCAACGCTTTCCCCTGACTGCATCGAGTTTCTAGGTCAGCTTTGGTTATTACCATTATCTTGTTACTGGTAGATCATATTAAGAGAAGGGGAATTTTCTAAATTCTTTACTGTCAATAAATTATAGCATTATGTAGTTATGATGCATTGTGGATTATGTCTGCAAACTTGTCACTTTCTTTTTAATACCTCTTACCATAAGAACACCTGTATTTTAAAACCTCCTATAAAGCCTTATCTTAAATATTCCCAGATACATTTCTCATGCTCACAGAAACTATCAACCTAACACAGTATTCTTATATCCTCTACAGTTTTCTATCACTTTCCATGTATGATTTAAGACACTTTGCATGGCCTAATGGACATTTTATCACCTTGTCCATATCACCCCTACAGATTGAAGTCTTATCTTTATGACTAGTCTACCCTTATACTTCACATCTGTTCCTGGACACATGTGACTCTCTTATAAGTCCTTGGTATAATGAAATTCTATTCACCTCCCAAGGACACTTTCCTTTTCTAACCTGTTACAAATATCTCTTACTTTATTTAAGCTTCATCTTGTCCCATGTTTGAAGATATTTTAGTTTCCTAACACCCTCCAGTATTTTATGATCATATCTTAACTTTTGATACATTAAAAAGATTCAAAGCAAATATGGTGTCTATCTTCAGGTACCATGCAAGACTGGAAAAAGTTACTCCTTGAAGTCACAAAATACTAACAAAATCCCTACATATAATCAGGGCCACCCCAGAGGTTTCCCAAACAAAAAAGTTTCTTTCCATTGTTCTTCTTTTCTACCATAATTGGAACACTAATTCTTGCTTCTGAGACTATCACAAACTTTTATTGTCTCTTACAGAGCATCAAGATAGAACTAAGATGGAAGCCTCCTCTCTACCAGAGAGATTTTACAGCCCAGGAGAGGGCTGCCCAGTCTTCTGTGGGAGGAAAGTTTCTAAAATCTTTACAAGCTATGAATCTGAATTGTTAGGCTCGATGGATGCACTTGTGAATTAATGATACTACTATTGTGATGATAGCCGATAGTTCTTTGATTGGATTTTAACCCTGAAGCACAGGAGCAATGCTGTGTCATTATTTTTCCCAAGTTAACACATTCTTTTTTGTATGGAAGCACATTAAAACTCAGGGTTTTCTAAAGGAGGTAAAACGTTACATCTGAAAAGGAAGCTCATAGGGAAACATGTTAAGAGACCAGTTGTGCTAAATGGAGGTAAAACATTTTATTCTGCATGAAAGAGCTTTAAGATTAGGAAGTAAACAACTTAATGGCTTCAGAAAATCCCTGAAATTGGCCAGATTCACTACACTCATTCCTTCAAGCATATCTAAGCAGTAATGACTGCTGAAAGCTCTCTGAGAAGCTGACTCTCCTAGAAGGGGCTTTAAGTAGCCAAACCACCTGGATGAGACAGAGACCATCCATATTGCCTGAATACTCTCAGACAAGTCAGACTCCATTAAAAAAGTAGAAAATAGACAAATTACTTAGAAGTAGTAGAGTCCAGCTGAATTGCCTGGAAGAAGCGCACACAAACTGAAATGCCTGGAATGGGCACTCTTCAATTTGCCAAGCTGCCTGCAAATGGTGAAGTCACAACATGTGAGTTCCAGGCTTTTAGTGTTTGTATTACCCATTGTTGAGGCTGGATTTTGATGATGTATCTGTCTTTGATTTATTTCTGGTCCTATAAGTAACCCCTTACCCACTCTTCTGTAAACTGATTAAAACTCAACTATTCTCTAAAGTTAGACTTTAGTGGAATTCTTATTTTATTTGTTGTTGGTTCCCTTTCTGGTGTGAGTAGACTGATCATGTCTCCCTATGAACAATGCCGCACAAAGGAATCCATGCTTGGCACCATACACATGAACAAAAACTCATGGCAGAGTCATTCATCTGCATAGACTTACTGCCAATTTGCCTTCTAAACTTTTATATTTATGCCCATCACAAAAATGCTCTCCTCAACCTTACTCATTTTAAGTTAGTCTTTCTAATGAATGACAGTGGGTGCAATGGTCATATCTCTAGAAAGTGTAAAGAATAAGTGATGGATAATTGCTTAGCCTAAAGAAATACACTTCGATAATTCCATCTAAAAAGAGAGGCAGAAAAAATGTAAGAGCCAGAAGATATAACTAATGACTGTGAAATGCTACCTTTTGGAAAAGTCATAGTCATTGTAATCATTAACTCACAGCAGTGATATATGCCTTCCCTGGGTCTAGAAGAGAAGAAGCTCGTCAGCAGTCAGGCATGATTAGAAGACTGACTCTTTTAGCTCTACCCTTTACCACTTAGTTATTTGCTACTGTCATTCTAATGGAGAAGAGGATTCAGCGCCTCCAGTTATGTTCCCACTGGTAACCTCCCCAGGCTCTAATAGTTAGTTCCCATGAAGTGATCACATGTTGTGCTAGTTAAACTAAATGAATCATAAAATTAAAACAAATGTCTCAAATCTGGGAAAGAGATGAGTGAAGAAGGTAGGTGGTTAATAAGGATGGGGTGATTTAAGAAAGGGCAGGAAATGAGTTGTTGGCACTTACGTGAATGAATTGTTTAAATTATTACAGACCTACTTGTTTCTACACATGAACTAACAAATAACTTAAAGTCCTTAATGAACTAAGACAGCAAGGGTAACTAAGGATAGAGACTACATAGGCCAAAGATGCAGGGTAAAACTAATTATTAGTGGTCTTTTATAAAACAAAAAAATGACAACTATTGATAACCTGCTATACTCATAGATCTTACATAGTGTCTTATTCTGTCATCATCAGAGAAACTTCCTCTTTCAGCACACAGGAACAAATACAGAGACCAAATGATAGATGAGAGAGAGAGAGAGAGAGAGAGAGAGAGAGACCTTTGGTCACACAGTTTTGAATGGGACGTGTCTATCAAATCCTTCACTTCAGAACACAGGGAACATGAGGAAAAGAAAGTGGAAAGATTATAAGAACCACAGAGGATGAGAGGATGGAGGACACCAAGAGAAAAAAGGCCCTCTAAATCAACTGAGCAAACTCATATGAACTCTGAGATTCTGAAGCCACAAGCATGGTACCTACATATATCTGTACCAGGTCCTCTGTAGATCTACTATAGCTTTTGGTTTACTATTTTTATTGAACTCCTGAGTGTGCGATTAGTGGGTCTCTGATTATTGTGCCTTAGGGTCTTTCCATTCTGATGGTTGTCTTCTCTAGCTTGTTTTTGATGACTTTTGTTTTGTCTTATATTTTACTTTGTTATGCTTCACTTTCATCTCTTAGAAGCCTGTTCTTTTCAATGAAAGACAGAAAGGGAAGGGATACCAATGAGAGAGGAGTTCGGGTGGAACCGGAAGGAATAGGAGGGAAAACTGTAACTAGAATATATTGTATGAGAATAGAATACATTTTGGGGGGGTACTTTTTAAGACAGGATTTTTCTGTGAAACAGTCCTGGCTGTCCTAGAATTTATTTTGTAGACCAGGCTGGCCTCAAACTCACAGAGATCTACCTGCCTCTGCCTTCAAGTATTAGGCTTAGAGGCATGTACCATCACCACCTGGCAAGAATCCATTTTTAACTAAATGGGAAAATAATAATATTAAATGTTATTTATTCTCATTTTAAAAATAGTTTTTATATTTATCAGGAATTTATCTTTTTAATATCTCAAAAAGTTCCTCCTTTTTGAAAGACACTTTTAGGTACTATGTCAGTTGCCATCCTTCTTCATTTTTCCTTTTATAATATTTTGTGATTTTTTCCCCACTAACTCTTCTGACAGCTCACACTCTTTTCAATAGTTAATCTCATTCAACATTCTTCCCTACTCTCTTTCTTTGTATGATTTACTTAATTCAGTATAATCTCCAAATGTATCCAAATATTTGTTACATTTATTCTAACTGTGAAATTTATACACGTAGAATAGCTCATTTCTTTAAATTTTAGAGTCAAATATCCAATATCACGTTGAATGTCTGTACAAATTCAATCACAAATTGAATTCGACTCTTAAATGTCGTTTTTCTAAATTTCACTTCCATTCAGATGTGGAAACAAAAGTTCTATTTGCACCATCCTTTCTCAGCTTTAAATCTACCCATTGTAGACCTTACCTAACTTGATCTTAACTTGTAACTTACCTCATTGTCAAATCTGTCAATGGTTTGCTATAACCTATATTTATCATCATAATCAAAGCTCTTACCTAACATGCTACAATATTGTTCATTAGTGTTACCCTTGCTTAGACTTCTCTGTCAGCTTCTAATTTTGAGCTATAGAGGAACATACATGTTCCAGTTTCTTCATTAAACTATGGTTTGCTCTGTCTCTGGACTTTTACATGCAATTCCTGTCTTCAACGTTGTTTGTTTTGTTTCATCATGAATTATCATTACTTTCTTGCTCCTGATCCCAGTTATATGCCACTCAAACTGAGATGAAAATGTTACTGTACTTACTCCAAGATTGAAGTGGTGCATACTTTTATAAATCTTCATAATAAAATAAATATTTTTCTACTCAAAGTTGCTTTTGGTCACAGTATTTTATCACAGAAACATAAAAAATTAATTCATATCCTTTTACTTATCTCTGTCATTTCTTGAAATAATATGTAGAAAGTATTGCAAATTATTGAATGAGCATATAAGGTCCTCTTGAAAAAACTTGCTATTTGTTTTTGTTTTTTAATCCCCTGTGATATAGAAGATCATATGGCTTGAATAGCTTCACTTAATGTTTACAATTATGGGAAACAGGAGTGCATGATATCCAAGACACTCAGATTTTACAATATGTGTCCACCTATACTGTACTGTAGCTATAAACCACAGTTATTCCCAGTTCCGCTTACTGGTTTCATGGTCAAGTGGAATACAAATGAAAAGGGAAAATGAAGTTTATTGAAAATTAACATGGTTTTAGTTAATCAGTGTATGGAAGGTCTCATATTTTTGATATATTATGATATACATATGTATATACATATGTGTTCACTCTCTCTCTCTCTCTCTCTATATATATATACATATATATATATATGTAGTATGTGTGTGTGTGTGTGTGATTCTGGTGATGTTCTGGAGTCTGTTCTGTTGGCATTATACAAAGAAAACCTTTTCATACCATAAATCAGTTTTATCCATAGAACAATATTTTCTAAAATATTTTTTTCCATCTGAAATCAACTAAAAATAGATTTGTCTTCTCTAATTTTTCCACAGTATTAAAACTAGTACTGAAATATCATCATTTATGAAAATGCATTACTTTATTTGTTCTGACCACATGAAATGCAAGTACACACACGCATACTACATTTCTTTACAATCATTTGATTTACTATTTAATCGTAACTGATGTAGAATCATTTTCCTTTAAATTAAAGGTACAGTCACCTTTCTTGTTGAGAACAGATTACAAAAAAATAGTAAGAAAAAAGTTTATGAAAAGTATAAGAAATTGTTTATGTTGATGATATCATGTTTTACAAATTTTCATTGTACACACCCATAAAACATTAGTTAAGAGCAACTTATATATTTGGGGGCCTTGTTGTTGTTTGGGGGTTTTGTTGCTGATGTTTTCTTTATTGTGGTTGTTTTATAGTTTTTAATTCTCAATTCTGAGGGTTTAATATGCGATTTTATGTATATTATGATTTCTGAATAGTTTCTGCAGTAAATTTTCACCTGAAATTATGCCATTTGAATATTCACATTCTTTACACTTACTATGAAAATTTCCTCATCTTAAAATGCCATTATTGTCAGGGAGGAGGCCTGGGCAATCTATGGTGCCTCTGGTAGCAGATCAGTATTTATCCCTAGTATAAGAATGGACTTTGGGGGCCCATTCACATAGAGTGATACTCTCTCTGCCTAGAAACATGGGGCAGTGCCTAGGCCCTGCTCCAAATTATTTGACAGACTTTGAGGATCCCCCAACCCCCCGTGGAATGCATCACCCCCCCCCCCACCAGGGAGCAGAAGGGGAAGGGATAAGGAGGACAACAGGAGGGAGAGGGAATTGGTATTGACATGTAAAACAAGACTGTTTCTAATTTAAATAAAAAATATACAACCACCCATTGATATGATGGCAAAGATATTTAAATGTACTTCATTAAATTCAAATGTCCCTCTACTGCATGTAAATTTTCTAAACAGTGAATATTCTATGCTCTGAGTAGTGTTGACATGACACATCAGCTGTTAGTGAGTTTACTAAGGAGTCATTGACTTCTAATAGGTGATCTCTTATTTTTATTATTACCTGGCCAGGAGCTGTGTTTGGATTAGCTAGATATCATGCTATGTCTAACTAATCCAAATTCCAGTGATATGGCATCTATAGATCAACTTAAATATTCCCTGATTTCCTTTAGAGTGTTAGATCACAAGATGAGAGCTCAACGAGAGCCACATGAGAGACCATACCACACATGTCAGGGGCTTCATCTGAGTTGTCTCCACAGTCATCTTCTCCATCACAAACCCAGAAATGGAGCTTGCAAAGGGAGTTATTACACAGGAACTCATCAGCTCTGCATATACTTCCCCCTTAATTTTTAAGGAAAAGGAAATTAAGAAAATTAGTAATGACAGTGAAGGGTTCAGCATCCTTTTTATTATTATTATTATTATTTACTACTTTATTTCCTTACATTTCTTCCCGCACAGTCCAAGAAATGCTAAATTTCCAAACATTTTTCTTAAAAAAAATGTTTGTTCCTATCTATTAAATTTGAAACATCTCCATATTATTGTCAAACATATAATATTTTGTTTAGGGAATACCAAGAGATAGTAAAACACTTATTAAAAATCTGAATAACCTTCAATTTAACACATTTTGATTACAATTTAAAAGTTTATATCTTTTAATATATATCATCACGTTCTGATGTGCAACCCAAAACAACAGCAATACCAATACCATGCATTTGGGAGGTCTTTGCCATATTTCTATTCAACAAATCAAGGGAGGCATCTCATTCTGACATCTGGGCTTTTCATTTGGGAGAAGCTTTGTTCCTTGTGTAGGATTGCTCCAATTAAAACATTATACATATGTATATACATATGGTTTCCATCACGGTTTTTAAAACATCCTTATGAAGACATCATGTACTTTGGTAATAGAAAATGGAGAAATCAAGTTGGTATTGACCATGAACCTTCCTCTTTATTGGCTAGCTTTTACAGAAAATAAAAATGTTGCTATGCAGATATCTGTTTGAGAAAAGTTGTCTATAAATTCATCCGTCTTCAAAAAGTGTGAGTTACAGTAATGACTGACATGGAAACATATATACATGGTCGTAATAATGGCATGGATGCTATGGGAGCAACCATAGTTTTCTGATTGGATTTATTGTCCACCGTATAGGAAGAAGCATATACAGAGTACTATAAATCTGGTGGATATGTCATGGCTGGGGAGCTCACAGTTTTGAGGCTGAACTGACTACTATTATTTCATCATAGTGACACAGTATCAAATGCTTTATAACTTCATCTCATTATCTTTATAGATGTACATCATAGCAGCTCTTAGACTTCATCATTGAAGTTTCTTTATGAAGTAGAGGGGAGAAAAATCACAATTGATCAATGTGTAGCGAATAAGTGATTGTTGAGTCCTCAACCATAAATGGGACATCTATATGATATCCTATTTGCCAAAGACTATGGGATCATCTTGGAAGAAAGGGTGAGATTATTGTACAAATCAAAGGAAATGAGAAACAAGGTCAAAGTTGGACCTTGGTGGTACATACTTTAATCCCAGCACTTGGGAGGCAGAGGGAGGCAGATCTCTGTCAGGTTGAAGCCAGCCTTGTCTACAGGGCAAGGTCCAAGACAGGTAAAACTACATGGAGAAACATTTCCCCCCCAAAAAATAAAATGAAAACCAAACAGACAATACACAAAAGTAAAAGGACCACACTCATGGACTCAGCAACTGTATTATGTATTTACTTGCTCAAAAGTATTTGGGCATTGATGGTAGAGTCCCCAACCATAGCTGAGAAGTTTTATACAGTTACTGGCTTCTAGAGGAAGAAATTAAGTTTTCTTATTTAAATATTTCATTTTTCTTATTTAAATATGTGGTTTCTGGTAGGTCAACCATGCTGCAGTTGATGGCCCACACTGCTGATTTTTACCGCCAGCAGAAAAGAAGCTCGATGAGCTGTAAAGAAACAGGAGAAGAGGAGGAGCATGAAGGAAGAAATGGAAGAAGAAGAGGAAGATGATGTCAAGAACTCCGACATGAAGATGGATGGGAGGCAGTGGATCCAGAAGGTGTTAAAAAGGGGAGTGGAATATGAATTTTATTAAAAATCATAATATGTGTTAATAAAATTCTCTAAAAAACTATTATTTTTATTTAACTTATACTTCTATTCGACATAGAAAAAGAAAACAGAGTTATTTTTAAATTACTCCCAACACTAAAACACTTTCTTACTTATTCACTAAAATTTTATAGTACTGTTAGGATGTCTTTGAAATATTAACAATAGTTTTGTATAGATGAGAGTAATTCATCTATGCCAGTTATTAATTATTTTTCTTATACAATTTGTATAATCAGGCATTGTTTTATATGGTTAATATTTTCACATAAACTGAAAATTACCTCAAATATAAAACTTTTTATAATATAAAATTTGTGTGTCAATACCACAAGCAAAGAACCCAATGACCTAATAAATTTGGGTTCTGTTTATGGTCAGATAAGAAGCAGTACAGATTTCTGTGGTTTGGGGGGCCTGTAGGTTTCTGTGCTTCTCAGGACAACCTATTAACTTCAGAGATATTCAATATCTTCATCTATGACAAAAGCATAATAAAGTAACTTATAACCTACATTCACAATACTACCAAATAATATAACTGAGAGATATAATTTCAGGTTAAAATAAACAAATGGTATTGTTTTCCTGGTAGGAAATGCTCATGATTTTATGCCTGCTGTGAGTTACAAAGCAAGTTCATTATATGATGGGAACTTGGCAGATTTCACATAATTGCCTTTAAAACAACCTGATATAACCAAATGTAGACATGCTTTGAGAAAGATTGTTACAGATATATTGTTTAGAAATCTGAGTGACACAAAGGAGGGGCTAGGAACTTCTGCAGCATTTCAAAAGTAGTACTGGTTCATCTTTTTGAACCACAGAAGTCTAAGACATACAGAAAGGCAGGGTCTCGATGAGTCAGAGTATTGACTGATCAACATTCACAGTGCAAAGCTTCAAACTCTTCACAGGTTCCTAAAATGCTGCTTTATTTCAAGAGTCTGCAATGTTGAGCTCTAAATTGCTGCAATCTAAAAGTATTCTCAATTAGAAAAACTCATAGCCTAATATATAGCCATTTAATGTTTTCTCTGAAAACAATACAAAAGAAAATGCATGTGAACTTTGCTTCTAAACGTAATCTAAATACGTTCTTTATATAGTGGTATATGCCTTAATTCCAGCTGTTGAACAGTGCTTGATTCTGAGGCCATCCTAGGTAACACAGATGCCTAGATAGACTATGTTGTCAAAAGGAAAAAGAAAAAGGAGAAGGAGGAGGGGAAGGATGGATTCAAGGCCAGAAGAAGCAAGGAAGAAAGAGATATCACATGAATATAGGATTCAAACACAAATTGCCTTAATTAAAAAAAACTCAATAGATTATATAGTAGAGTCAGTTTCTTGGATAAAAATGGTTTAAATTACTAATCTCATTGCACAGTGCACTTTACAACAAATTAAATTCAGACAAGGTTATGAACTCTTGACATACTTAACCTTAAAAAATTTCTGTTTGTAGCATATCAGTGTTGTTAAAAGGAAAAGTGCTCTCCCTAAGCTATTGAGAAAGATATCATTTTATTTATATATGCTCAGAATAGTGCTGGGCATAGAACTATTACTTTAAAATATAAAAATAAGTTTAATTATGATTATAACAGTGAACTAAAAGTTTTGTGATAAGAACTTTAGACTGTATTAACCAGGTCCCCTAAACATGGGTGCCAGTTGGGAAGTCAGGGCAGTCTATGGGGCCTCTGGCAGTGGAATCAGTATTTATCCCTTGTACATGCACTTTGGGAGCCCATTCCATATAAACTGTATCATAAAGAATTTATATTTCAAACAATGCATCCTGAGACTTGGCATCCTGAGTCAATTACAGTGTTTAATTCTCAAATCACATGAAGCACACAGAAGCAACAGGAAAGGCACAACCTAAAGAATTTGGCTAGATTAACATTCCAGTTTCCTAGGTAGATAGACTCATAATCCTGTTTTCTAGGTATATTTGTGATCTATGCACCAGGTGATTAATAGCAAAAATAGAAAGCCTAAGTCAAGACTTAGCAACGACATATCTGAACTCTAATTCTGGGGCCTGACAACTTTACACAGCTTCACAAGAAAACTGGTCAAGAAAGCAACCATAGATAGTTCTCATCTTGGTTTGGGTTGACCGAAGTTTATTATGTAATAATATTTTACACAGTGCATAAATAATTTTTATACTTTGAGTTTGTGTTTTGTAAAAGGATACTGTATATTTTTCCCACAAATATCAGAATACGCAGAACAAAGAATGAAAGTTCAAAGCTTAATAAACATCAGGATTTTAGGACTATAGATTTTGTCTTGTAAAATATAAATGCTGCTGTTAATTCCCTCAGCTTCGGGGTATTATTCTTGTAAAGTAAGTGACCAATGTTGAGTCTTCGGAACATGTGTCATGGTAAACATTTTCCTTGTGCATATGTGTGTGTGTATGGGTGTTGTGCATGTAAGAGTAGAGCCAGAAATGATCTTGACATCTTCCTTTACTGTGCTACAGCTAGCACCTTGAGACAGAATCTCTCTCACTGGACCTGTAGCTTGTGATCTTGACTGTAATGCTCCTTAGTTACTTATCTCAGTCACCCTAAAGACAGTATTACAGGCATACACACAAAAACTTTATTTGGCTACTGGGGATCAGAATTAAGATCCTTTGCTCCTATTCTTTTGAATACATTGGCCCATCTCTCTTTCTCTCTCTCTCTCTCTCTCTCTCTCTCTCTCTCTCTCTCTCTCTCTCTCTCTCTCTCTCTATACACACACACACACACACACACACACACACACAGCACACAGGCACCAGCAAACATAGAGACACATGCATGCATATACAAATACACGTACACATATACACACACAACTTCTATGACTTTTAGGATACCATTTGTTAATAGAAGTGTCACACTTCAAGGTAACAGCACACCAATTATAATATAAAGAAGGCTTATTTTGACTTTCTATTCCCTTAAACTTTTAAGAAACACTTATCAGTACCAAGGTTAACCTTATCCAGCAACTTTGCTTCCATTTTCTCATTTGTGAATACACACATGCACATGTGTGTGCGTAAGTACACACACACACACACACACACACACAACACACAAACAAACACACACACACATACCCACCACCACTGTCACTGCCTTACCTCTGCCACAGTTCTCTTCATCGCTTCCATCCACACAATCATAGATTCCATCACACAGCCATCGGATCGGAACACAGTATGCTTTATTTTTGCATCGAAACTGATCTTCCTTACATTTTATCACACAGTTCATCTGTTCAAGAACAATGGGAAAACAACAGTCTGCATAAATGTTGATGGAATCACAGGCAGTGTAACCAACAGTAGATATTTGCTATAGACTGAGATTATTTGTCTTAATGAACACAACCCCTACATGTAGCAGTGTGCTTTAGGATACAAATAGAATGAAGGTCCTTCTATTTCCTGTATAAATTATAGCATATAGTTGCATAAAATTTGAGACAGTTCTGATAGTCAAAATTTTCCTCATTTTTTTTATTGGATTTGATTTATCAGCCCTGGTTCATATAATTCAGAACTTTAGTCAAACAACAGTTTTACCTCATCTGAACCATCAACACAGTCAGGTTCTCCATTACATTTCAAAGATGCTGACAGACATCCTCCACCGGCACACATATATTCACTTGATGAGCAAGCAGGAAAGGCTAAACAATTATAAAACTGAAGTTTATATATAGCAAAAAAAGAGTAACTTGTTTAGAAGGCAAAATATATAAAACATGCAAATATGAATTCATGGACAGATTAAGATTATATTCTAATATTAAAATGTTGACTAAGTAGCCTTAAGGATCATTTAAATTGAGATTTACACTATTTGTTATAGGCATGGCATTTCAGAGACATAAGTGACTGTGAAGTAAGGATTTAATGCAATAGACTAAATAAACAAGAAAAATCATTGAGATCTAGTTTCTTTGATCACAAAGAGTTAAGTTAGTTTCTCACAATTTTAAATTGTTTGAAAAAGTCTAATTTAAATATGAAAAATCATTAAATAGCCTTGAGAAAGTTCATATAGATACATAGCATGAAACAGAAAGTGAAATTTTGCCAAAGTCCATAGTGATACCCATCTGAAAACTTTTATCTTCCGATTTAAAGATCACATTTTGTAGGTAAACAATCATGTAGAATCTGTAGGATTTCTTTCTCTTTTCCTTCTTTCATTATCATTTATTTATTTATGGCTTCTTGAGACAGAGTTTCTCTGTGCAGCCCTGGCTATACAGGAACTTAGCTGTAGACAAGACTGGCTTCGAATTCACAGATCTGCTTACCTCTATCTCCTGAATTCTGTGATTAAAGGGGTGCACCACTACCATCTAGCCTTATTTATTTCTTAAGCAGAGTTAATAAGTGGATAAATTACTGCCATATCATAATTATAATTAATTATCATATGATTTGTAATAGCTATGTTTTTTCCTTTGGACTTGGATTTTAAGCCTTTTATTGAGACTTCAAATATTTGACCTTATATTTGATACAATTTCTCTGATGTCTGGTTGCTTAGCAAAGCTACAAAGTCCTACCTTCAGTTTAAATTCTTTTGTACTACAACAACAACAAAGGTTTTGCTAAGAGAATCCAATAAGTATAATGACTAAGAACATATCTGGAGGCAAAAATATGTGTGATCTACTAGAAATATGGATCATAGCATGATCAGAGTTCATGGCAGTAAGTAAACTGTTTCTAGTGCCTTGTCTCCCAAGACTATGCTTTTGTGCTGATACATAAATGGCAGTATGGCCTTTTGAATTTGTTTTCTATAAAACACTGCAATCAAAACATCTTAACAAATATTCTATGTTTAATGAGCATATTTCAGAAACATGTTTAAGAAATAGAAATATATGAACTAAATTATTTTTCTATACCCTCCATGACTTTCTAGTTTCCATTTTCCTTGGTATGAGACAGGAGTACAAAAAAACATTCATATACTTCTCAGCTTCCAACTGTTACCATCTGTTTCTGAAATTCACCTTCTATCACTAAGAACTTCATTATAAAGCTAAAACATATTTCTTTTTGTAATAAGGTTGACCAATACCAAGACTGATACTTCTATCCCATAGTGATTTCATCTGCCAAAATGATTTTGAAAAATAGGAAGAGCACACAAAGACCTTATTACAGTTACCTCCATTGATCTCTAAAAGCCAATACAATGTGTGTCTGTGCCAGTTTTCTGGAAGACACACCTGGGTTCAAATTCTATCAAGTTAACAATAACCACTCAGTTAGACATATTCTACTCTCATGTTACCTGTTTCACAGTTCTTCTCATCTTCTCCATATTTACAGTCTTCATGCCCATCACACTTCCATTTTGCTGAAAGGCACTGACCATTGGAACACTGAAACTGATCTTTGGAACAACTTGTTTCACAATTTTTCTGCCAAGTATAACACAGAGATAATTAATTCAATTATTTAAAAATACCTTGTATTTCCAGATTTCCCTCATTTTGGATTTTCTTTATTGATTCTATTTCTTCTTTCATTTCTTGAGCAATTTGGTTCATTTTCTTCCACTCTTTGTTTCCTTTCTAGGCCCTATATCATTTTCATAAAGGATATTTTAAGTTTTTTTACTTGCTATGTTTGAATATTGAGGGAGGGTAGGACATGAAACGAACACGAAGCCTAGGGAAATTAAATTCCATACTGTTATCCATCTTTCTCCTAGTGTTCTCTTGCTACTCATCTCTTTTTCTCTGAACTGTTCTTTTTACCATTTAGCTATTTGTGAGTCAGTTTTTCTATTATGACATTTGTTTCTAAATAACTGTATAATGATTTGTCATTGTGGCTACTTCTACTTGCTCATAAACAGATTTCATTAGAAGTCAAACAGTAGGAAATCCATCAGTTCTTTGTGGGAGATAATGGAGAATGACATTCACCCGCCTTGATCTGAACATTGGTTTAAATGAGCTGTACTGCCCAAATATCTTTCTGGACTGATCTTTTTCTCATGTACAATAATTTATATGTTTCCGAATCTATACTTTTTCCTCTCCCACAACTGGCTTAACAGCTCATAACTATAGAAATTGCTGAGATGTAGAAGTTAGATCATTGTTCTTCTTTCCAGATAAACCCTCAGGTAAGAAAGGAGACTGTATTTCCTTTTAAAGTTTTATATTTGCTGGTAGAAATTTATTAGACTATTCCATAGAATTGACATTTTTCTTCCAATATTTTCCCAAATATTAAAGTATTATTATTTTCCAGAGACTTTCATAAGTGATAATGAAAAAGTGGGATTCTTTCTTATATTATAAGCTAGGAGACTAATATAAAATACTATTTTCAAAACTACAATAACAAAATACATTGGTTGTTAAGAATAACAAACATGTGTCTTTTTAGAGAAGGCTTTTGAGAGGAAGTTTTACCAGAACTGGATCTACCTTTGGGAAAGGTAAAATATGTCAAGATAGTTTGAAATGCAAGGTATATAAAGGCAGGAGGATTGCTATTAGTTCAAGCTACTGTGGACTGTGTAGTGAATATCAGATTAGTCAAGACAACCTGGAAAGTACTGGAAGACCCAACTCATCTCGAACAAATCAAGATTTCCAGACTATACTAAGTGAAAGTGAACCTCCTAGGATAACACTAGATTCCCGAAAACACTGCCAGGTTTTGCCACTTCATAAGGGGGCCCTTATTTCATCATTGTGACCTTGATTGTTGGCTTCTTTATGTTGTACAATTAATTTCCTCGGTGTTTAAAATGAAAAATGTTTAGTTTTAATCCTTTCCTGTATTTGTCAAAATCATATTTATATCATTTTGTTGTCTCAGTGTGTTATTGTTACTGATTGGCATATATTGAGTAATCCTTCATTCATAGAATTAATTACACTTGACCATGGTATATAATTTCTAACAGGCTGTTGGATTTAGTTTGTGAGTATCATTTTAAGGATTTTTGCATCTATGTTGATAAAATGTGTAGGTCCATAGTTTTTCTGTGTGTATCCTTTTCCTGGTTGTAACTTAGAATTCAGGCCCATGAGTATAAAGATTGTTCAAATATATGAACTAAGTATTTAAGTCTACCCTTTAAATTCACACTTCTTTCATCCTCCTACATGTAACATCCCTATGGCATTGGAAATTTTATACTACCATAATAATAATAATTCATTAGTAGGTTTAAACCACACAAAATATCTTTATTTACTTTAATATATTATTTGGTAAACTGAGGTTACAAAGTATGTCTGTATATTGAATTTAGGTAAGATTATACATATATAAACGTTTTGTTACTGCTTAGAAATTTTATTTGTTTTTTGAAAAATACCTCTGCCTTCTGAATTTGTTATATTATCTTTTCTATGATTTTTTTCTTTGAGAATATTATAAATATATTTTCAATGTATTTATCCCCCTCTACCAATGCTTTGTAACATTTTTCCAACATTTATTTGTCTTAATTTATGTGTATGAATGTTTTGCCTGAATGCATGTATACGCATCTTGACTATGCAGTTTCTAGGAAAACCAAAAGAGAGATATATTCCCTTGACACTGTGATTATAGGCATTTGTAAGCAAGTGCTCTTAACCACTGAGTCATCTTTTGAGGAATATTAATATTTTATGAAACCCAAAGTGACTCTTGAGACCTTATTTTTAAATAGTATTGTGAACTCATGGATTTTATGCCTACTGAGTTTCAATCAATTATAGAATTTTGCCCTTCAGATATTGTACTTGTTCCCTTTGTCAGTCAAGGCCCTTTCAAGCTTTTTTCTACTCCCTGTGCTCACTGAGCCTTTAGTCCTGTGTGCTCACATTCTAAGATGTTGTTTACATTTAATGTTGTGAAATTCTTTTCTCAGACCTAGAGTTCTACATTCCTCACAGTAACCCTGTTTCTAGTAAGTAGGAAATGATCTTTATAAATCACTGTGAACACTTGAGTGAGTCATTATTACTGGATTTCTCTTTGTTTTATACTGTTTTTAGAGGTAGATAGTTTAGAAATGAGAAACATTGTGTAGTATCTCACACTGATACCTTTAAATTTATTTATTTATTTATTTTTGTTGCTGTATTTACTGCCAGTCAATCTAAGTTCAATATTCAGAGCCCACATGGGAGAAGCAGAGAATAAACGCTTCCAAGTTGTTCTCTGACCACATTTATAATGTAGCATGTGTTTACCACCCCCAACATGGAAAATAAAATAACTAAATAAAAAAGGATTTATATATTTTAAAAGATAATTCTCTATGTAGGCAACAGAGATATATACTTGATTTTAAGTTAATTCAACTTCTAAACTTTGTCTTTAAGAAGATATTATTAAGAACATATGTACACAGAATTACAATTCTCCAAACTTTTCTACTTACTAGTAATATAATCTTAATAAGACTGTTCTTTCTAGATTTGTGCTAAGACCTCATTTTGGTAATTTGTTCACTGTCTTTTATCAAGTAAAATGTTATTTTAGACTCTATAGAAAAAAGAGAATTTGCTGTGAATAGCGCTGTCTGTAAGTGAAGACCACAATAATGAAAAATTTATTTAGAGCCTTGCCTTGACAACACTTAGTAAATGGAAATATATTCATCCAGGAAAGAACAAAGCCCAGGAACCTAGTGAATGAGATGAATGCTGTTAGTAAATACTTATATTATTAAATGAATAATATTTTGGAAAGTTTTGTGATGAAATTAGATTTTGATTCTTCTTATATACTTTGAACATCTAGTAATAACATACAACAAGAAATCATAAGGCTCAAGGAATATGCTTGAAGTGGCTGAAGCAAAATAAAAGTCAAAACATTGCCTTGCATACATTAAGTTTATATGAAATATATTCTCCTGACTTTGGAATGATTAAGACAGTATTAAATGATAGATGCTAAATGAGTATGTGGGTCGTCATTGTAAACTATATAGTCTTCTTAGAGAATCTTACAAAGGAGTTTAGATTCTGATTTATGAATAGTTCTTGAACAAAATGGATAATTTCAACTAATCTTGAGATTACTTTTGTAAATCTGTGGTTCAGATTCAGTGGTCTTGAGGTAAGAATTTAGAAATGATCTTGGCTAAACACTGCATTCCTAGCTGTAGTTAGAATGCAATTTCCAAAATGGCAAGGAAATGGAAGTATCTGTCATTGTAAGGATTGTTGTAGAATGGAAAACTCCTACTTTGCATGCAATTTGTACAAACAGTAGAGACACGCTGTGCTCCTTTTACAGAAAGGGAATCAGTGGATACTTAGAGAAGTTAGCCCTTAAATAGTAACTTCTAAAGCAATAGGGAACATCATCTACAGTCTAAATTTGATGGGGGTACTTTCTATGAGTAGTAAATGCATGTATTTGCTGATCAGGCAACACATATCTGTAGCACTACCATGTGAGTGAAACAGCAATGATTTCCATAAGGAACTGAAAACCTCTTTTCCCCTCGTGGTTACTTACATTGCCTGTTTTCCTCCTGCACAATTAAGAAACTAAGAAAATCCTTTAAAGTGATCGGTCTTGCACTTGCCTCAGTGCAAAAAAAGCCAAAAGCTGGTATAATTTCTGTATGATTAGTTTTAAGGTTCCATGGAGTCACATGACACATAGCAAGAAAACCTCAGCACAATTCAAGCTTGCAGAGTTGTCCAGAGAAGTTATCTCCTATTTTTTCGCAAAGCATGTGTCTTTTAATAAATGGACTGTGATCCTTCATCTAGGGAAATCTCAACCCATGGTTTCATTAAAATCAATGACCACACTGAAGTTTACAAGACTGTAACCACTGAAGAAAGAAAAACTTTTAAAATGCATAAATTATTAGTAAGAGCTATAAATACTCCAGCAAGATTATAAACAAATCTAAAACAGGCACACAAGCCAACGGGAAGAGTATTTCCAAGCATCATATTCCTTGATCAGAGATTCAACAGTGGAGAAAACTATACTACAGAATTGTCAGTAGTAGCACAGTGATTTTATACTGTGAGGTCTGTGAAACATAACACCCAAATTAAATCTTTATAACCGATTATGCAGAGCAGGGTGCAATGAAACTCTTTCCTCGGTCACACTTATCATACCGAATGGCTATAACCCTGGTGGAAACCAGCTTTACCTTTTTGTTTGTGTTCACAGAGATTCCCTACCTCATCAGAGCCATCGGCACAGTCAAACTCTCCGTCACACCAAAACCTTGATGAAACACAGTCCCCATTGCTGCAGAGAAAATCTTTCAGCGTACAGGTCTGTGGCTCTGGAGACAGGAAGAAAGCATAGGGTAAGAGTATGTTCTCAGCTGCATTGTGATCAACATGAGGAGGTAGCAGAAAAACAGAAGAGGTTAGGCAAACGTAAGAGATCATTTAGGGGGAACATCTTATGGAGAATCTATGGGACACAATATACTAATATTCAAATGTAATTTTAAGGTCATTAATACAAAGAGTCATTTAAATTTTGAAAACTATAATACATAGGCTATTATTTATTAAAATATAATTTGAAAGTAAAATCAAATATCGGAAAATTTATATGCTAGAATACTGCGACATGGTCTTTCCATTTAGAGTATTAAGCCATTTAATGTATTTAATAAACATTTTCTGGCTTTCTTTATCTATTAGTATTTTCATAACAATGTAAGGATATCTAGACATTGATAGTGACTTTTAATTACGTATGCTAGTGATTTTATTCATCTGACTTTGCCATAGAAGAACCCAGGTTAATAAACATAGCACTGGGAATTGGTGGGTAGGCTTTCTTTACAACAAACAATAAGAGAAAAACCCAGCGTATTTGCTTGTGTAATTGTTACTTGTATAATATATCTGTACATTTTGGAAATTTGCTCAGTATTTACTTAATTTTAATTGATCATATTTCTGGTAGGAAAAAATTCAAACAGCATGCCTTAACTGCCTTTTTTAGCCTTAGGGGTATGTGTTTTGTCACAATGTTAAGGTTTGATTTCAGAACTTGGTTCCTGGAAATGATCAATGTCACAGCTGGGCATTACCCTTCTTCAGATTGGAGTCTTGGATGGTAAAAATCAACCTCTGCTTTCTCAAATCATTAATTGTGTTTTTAAAGATGTTTTATTCATTCATTTTAATTTATTATTTGATTATATCAATCCACTTTTGGGCATTATACAAATAAATATACTTTAAACATGTTTTCACTCATTGTTTTTGCAGCTGTGTCCTATGCAATATTAACCTTGTCCACATAAAAGAGGAATAAGTAATAGATATCTAAACTGAGGAACACATACATGGAGACTTTTGCTCTCCATAATGTCTCTGCCTACATTTAGAAATAATTCTACTTGTGCTGTTCAACAATGCAGCCTTATATTAGACCTTACTTTCTTGAGCTGTTCAGTCTCTGAGCATTAGTAGTGCTTGGCTGGTGTCCTGACTCCTACACTTTTGTAAATAGGAACTTTGAAGAACTGTTGAAATGTTATGTGTATCAGAGAACAATTTGCTGTGGTTTAGAATTGACCTTGACCTTTAAAAGTCTACCAATAAAAGAAAATGTGATTTAGAAGCATGGGAACAAGTAACTGGATGGGCTTAAAAGTGTACACCTACAATCCCAGGCTTTTATAGCAAATTCCATGCCAGCTTGTCTGCATAGCAAAAGCTTATCTCAAACAAAAACAAAACAAAACAACAAACAAACAAAAAACAGTAACCAAAGCAAACCACAACAAAAGCAGAAACACTTCTAAATGGATCATTTATTTTTTTTACAATTATTCATTTTTTTTTATTTTATGTGCATTGGTGTTTTGCCATGGGTGTCAGGTCCCCTGGAAATAGAGTTACAAACAGTTATGAACTGCCATGAAGGTCCTAGGGTGAGACCCAGGTCCTATGGAAGATCTGCCAGTGCTCTTAACCACTGAGTCATCTCTCTAGCCCAAAATGGATAGTCTCTAACAAGTCTTTCTGATGATTTGTTTTGTGGTTATTATAGTAACAGCTCATTCTCTTACATATGCATCCCTAATCTTAAAATAACTCTGTTGATACTAATATTAGCCATAACTGCCAGGTGCTAATGATCTATTTTCTACTATACATTAGAGAAATTTATTGCTGAGTACTTGATCTAATTTACTACTCAAACTTCAAAACAACTGGATAATGCATTGCATTGCTTTTCTCCATGTAATTGAGAAAACTGAAGCACAGAAAGAATCAGAACTTTCCTCTAAATGACAAAGTTCTAGTATTTAACTGAATCAATGCCAACTAGATACCCAAGACTAGTGCAGTCTATATTGCTCTCCACAGACTGCAGAAATGCTCATAGGACAGTTGGAAGCCGACTTTCTTATGATAGACACCTGCCTATCTCTGTCTACTTTATTTATTTGCTGTCATTATCATCCCAGTTAAAAACTAAAGTATTTCATTGGACTTTGTAAACACAAAGAGTTTTATTCTTGGCAAAAATAAAAGATGAAATATGTGCATATTTTTCATTTTCTTTGTTTTAATTTTTTACTGTGGTTCATGTGTAAAATGTAATATATGTATAATTTATTTAACAATGAGGCTAAAAATAGTTTTCATTAGAAAATAAAGATAGAGAAAACAGTTAGAACATATGTCTAACTGCTTAGAAACTGCATAGGAAACATTTACATACATGTGATAGAATGTGAACGTTAATTTTCTGCTGTTGTTATAGTTTGTGATTATTATATTTAATAGCAAATATGTTTCCTATTTGATAAATGGCTTCATAGGCTTTAGCAGATGTTGTTGTATAGAGAATTGTACCATACCGATATAAGATCATAAGTAAGTTGTACGTCTATTGGTATCCTTTGCTTCATAGGTGGACAGTAAACTTGTTTCATAAAATCTTTGGCCTACATCATTAGATTTGACGGTCCAGTAAAGGAGAGAGTCTCCTATTTGTCATGAACATATTAATTGACAATGGAATTTATGAGTATTTTTTGCCATGCACTAAAATTTACCAGCACATGTATCTATCAACAGCAACAATGATAAATCCACATGCATACAGGTGCCATTGAAGAGCCGTCTGTTTAATATGTTTCTAACCCTCATTTATGTGGCAAAGAACATTCACTTGTTTTTAGATAGATGGAAAAAAGGCTCTTTTAAATGAACTGGAATCAGTTAATTTTAAAATCCCAATTGCTTATAAAATCTTTAAGCCTTTCACATAAATTGGAAGAACAGTTTTCAGATTTTAAGTCAGGTAGCATTGTTTGTCCATATTAGAACTTCAGCAGTGAGATGGCTGTTCCTGGCAGCTAACCCATCTGGAAAGAAAGTCTGAATGCAGCCTTTTTTCCTAGAATCACTAAAATGTTGTTCCCACACTGTCTCTCATATAAACGGTATAGCTATCCCAAGAGTGGATGGGCACCCAGCACATGAGCTATCTACAATGTTTTCTGTGAATCTGCCCAGGCATATTGACTACCAAGAAGCTTCTACGGAGTCCATTTTCCATATCTTGGCCAACTTCTAAATTTCAAAGTAGCTGTGAACTATGGGGGACATCACACAGAATAATGAAGTTCAAGAGTGAAATGAGCTTTCCAAACCACGTATTTCACAGCAGAGCATAGACATATAACCTTCAGATTCTCTACTGAACGCCGGTTATTCTATGTTCAACAAGAATTATATTAATGTGTGTGTCAGTATCAGCATTGTAACACTTATTGTAAAGGATATACCATAGAATAGGCTGATATAGATACAATATGAAAACTCTAGACATTCACATAAACTAGAGGCAACTTGTCTATATACAAAAACTAATTTTGTGATAAATTACATGGCATTTAAGAAAATATAATGTGTTATATTAATTAAAATATATAAAATAATTTTCTATATATATTGATTATGTAGCAAACTTCAATGGCATATATCATAATTTCATTAACAAAGCAAGAAAATGGTAAGATTTCTCAGATTACAAAATGGTTCCAATGACAGTGACATTTCCTTGATTTTAGAGCAGACACCACTGCTGAAGGACATTTAGCAAATAAAATGATCATCAGATGAGAATTAATGGCTATGGCTCAATCATCCTGTGTGAACATAAGAATGCAAATATTTGATTTCAACGCCCATTTGGCAATTAATGGGTTCACTACCATTTTAATTATCCTCATGCATACATCTGACATTTTTGTAACATAATTCAAAATACAATACATTTAGTCAGATTCATAAGCAAAGCAATCTAAAAGAGAATTTAAAGTATGCAGCTGCTGTTACTTAAAGAATAAAATATCTTGGTAATTATAGATCCCTTCATGCTCATGCACATTATGCATTTAGCATGTTAATCTATTCTGATATTTTCTTGATATGTGTGTCCAGCTTGCATATGCTTCTGCTTTCTTTTGCCTCAGTTGTATTATAATTCAGTCTTAAACACTGTTATGTCTCCTTTGAAATGATAATATTGCTTTTCTTAACCAATAAACTCAGTAACAAATGTGAAATTAAGAGATCATACAAAGTTAACTATTTTATATGGACATTTTCCTTTAGTCTTTTTAATTGATACTTTTTCAGTGTTTAGTGAAGTCAAAATTCTGTCACCTTTCTTTGGCCACAAACTGACTTCTACATGTCTGAACAATAACACTCAGACATGTGGGATCCTCAGATGATCAGAGGCAAGCTATCAAAGTCCTCATTCTTCTTTTCCTTTTCTTATTAGAGCAATAATTCAACTTCTTGCATGATTTCAACAATCCCGTGAACAAAGGTCTAACTCAGGTGGTACAAGACTGTAATCCCAGGTACTGTGTGTTAAGGCAGGATGATCACAAATCCAAGCACTGCTTGGGCAATACAATGAGTTTAAGGGCAGTTTGGTTAATTAGCAATATTCAACCTCAAAATAAATGTAAAATGTGCTAGAGAATTGGCTTAAGATGCAAAAGTCCCATGGATGAATCTGAAGTTACAAGCAGGAAACAGTGACATCCAAAGGGGTAGAGGAAGGGAGAAATTTCACTGAGTCAAGTCTCCAAGGTTTCTTCTCAACTACCCTGTTGTCCTCAGCATCCTTCAAAATGGAGTGTTTGCTCCAGGTACCTATATGTTTAAGGCTAAGCACGTCAGTCAAATTTAAGAAATATCTGATGCATCAAGTATGTACTTTCTTCTATTTTAAATTGATTTTTCTCTTATTAGTACCATCATAAGTTTATCTAATTTTTATTTTAATCACTGGATTTGTATGAGAAACTGCTGTATAAATGTGGTTTTAGTTCTGATTAAATAAGCCTAAAACTCTAATAAGTCCATGCAATAATCCATTTGTAATCCATGATCCATTAGGGTTATGTATATGAAGGTGGGAGCTCCAGGTACTGCCACATTCAGATATTCTGAATCAATTGATTGTCAGGCACAGGTCATACTGCCCCAAAAGTTATTTGAGACATTAGTGCATATTTTGCAGGCTGAATATCCAAGTGATTCTGTAAGGTTTACTCCATCAGCTACATACCTTCTTATAATGAATTGTTATACAGATTATATATAGTATAGCCCCCTGATAATGATTGCTATTAGTCCAATTAGATAAGGAGCAGATTGTTATACATCTGCATCACACAATTTTAGAAAGGAAAAAATATAGATACTTAACAAATATAATTTGGTCATTTTCTCATTTTAACCATGGTAATATTGCTTGTTACTTATACATAAAAGCACTGATAAGAGTTTTGCTGAGAGATCAATGCTTAAGCACAGACACTCTGCCTCAGTGCAAATATATAATGATTGGATAATTATTGGTACTAAATTTATTGCATAGAAGTTCAGCAGGCAGATGCCATCAGTGTTGTTCTATTTTCTGAGGAAAGCATCCTGAATTCAGATGGTGTTCACTACTCCAGTGAGGATAAATGATAACTCACTGAAAGATGCTCTTGGGTGAATTTGTATTGTAAAAGGATTGAGGCAGAAATGGAATGAATAGCATCCGTTAAAAATGATATGTGTTGTGCTGTGTGCACATCAGTCAGCTCATTGTATGAACTTGCATCAAGGGCTTTCTTCATTGCATACTAATGGACTGTATTAAACCTCATGATACACTTCTACCAATTCTGGGAGCAGAAAGAAAATAACTCCAGAGTAAGCATTCCAATCATTTTACCCTTTAAGAGTCAGGTCAATTTATTCTGAATATTCTGTCCAATTGTGAATATATGTATAGAAATGTGAGTTTCAGGATTAAGGAGTCCAAATTTTGCCTTAGCTGAGATAAAAAATGCTATCCTGCTTATTGAATGGGCTGTCAGGCTTGCAAGGTCATTAGGCTTTTCACTTACTACAGTTGTCTTCATCGGAATTATCGCTGCAGTCATTCTGGCTATCACACCTCCAGTGATCTGGAATACAGTTGTTGTTCTTACACTGGAATTCATGAGGTCCACAAGTCTTTTTATCTGTAAGGAAAGAAACCTGAGTTTGTGTGGTTTGCTTCCATTAAGACATCATTACAATATTCTAACTGCTCTGTCAGTGCATAGCATATCACATCTCAGGAACCTTAATTCAGTTACTGACTGAGAATCATTCCAAGGAGCAAAATGAGCTCAAGTGCTAAGTACACTTGACCTTCTACATGTGCTCCATGTTCCTATTGGATAATTAGAGAGCAATTAAACCTACAAGCAATGTTTATACTACCAATGTCAAAATTGTCCCAAGCTATACTTCTGTTTCTAATATCCACTCTGCTTCTATGTAACAACAAAATTAACCGTTGCTAATAAAACTGAGGATTTATGCTGTAATGTTTCACAGAGAGCTTATAATCACACACTATCCATGTACAGCTACCTGCCCATTAATGTATCCACAGCCTACCTTTGGCTAAGTGCACATTATTGGTCAGTAGTGGCTATGATCCACTCATAAAGCTGCAGATTATATAGGATGAATGCACATTATCCAAAAGCATCTTATGTTTTAGTTTTCATACTTTTACATGTGTGCAAACATGATGAGGGTTTCTTGGCTAGCTACCAAGGATAAAAATATTCATTTATTTTTCATAATAATATATCCCATATATTATATAATATAAACCAAATAGTATATATACACTTATATATCATATGCAAAATAAGATTTTATACAGCCTTTTCAATGCTCCCATGCTGTGACCTGAGTCTACCACAAGAAGTCAAGTGTTAAATTTTCTTCTTATGACACCAAAATCATGCACATAATCTTTTAAGCATTGAACCATTTCAGAATTTAGACTTTCAAATTTGGGTTACTCAACCTATATCAATGCCTCCCAGTATACGTACAAAGCAGGAATATTGACAAGATGCCTTTCTACACAAACCTTCAAACAATTCCCTGAATTATTAGCAAGGCTCTGACTGTACATGAAACCAACAGAAACTCATTCAAGTTCAGGATTCTGATGAATTTTCAAGTGAATGGCATGGTAAATGCTATAACACAGTCTACATTTGATGGGGTTTTCCATATATATATATATATGTATATATATATATGTTTCTCTTATTGGCTAATGAATAAAACACTGTTCAGTCACTGAGGCAGGAAGATCGGCAGTCTGGGAGACAAGGAGAATTCTGGGAAAGGTAGGCAGAGTGAGTGCACCAGACTGAGTCATGATACTGCCAGAAGAGTAACACAATGTCAGACATTACCAAGTAAGCCACAGCCTCGTGGGAATACATAGATTGGTAGAAATGGGTAAATACTACAGAGCTAGCTGATATGAAGTCATAGTCATCGGCCAACAATTTAATAATTAATCTGTGTGTTCATTTGGGGATGAAGTGGCAGCAGGACCTAGGTGAGACAAGAGAACCTCTTGCAATATACATTTACTCCTGATTTACTACTTCATGTAAGTTCAGATCCAATTAAGATGAGACAAGTGAGCAATAGAAATATGAACTGAAATGAGAGTTTCTACAGTTCTCTAGTGTAGATCTAATTATACAGAGCATGAAACTCTCACTGTTCTTTGTATAATCATTTAGAGTTGTGTTCTAATGCTGGTTGTGGTCTAGCAGGATTGTACTGCTTTCCGCTGCTGCTGGTGATTAAACTCAGGCATTTCAGTTGGACTGTGTCACAATAATATTGACCTTGATCAATGGTTTGAACTGGCTACATATGTTCTTAAGGATTAAGATATTAAAGATTGAAAAAATTATAAATTGAAATCCAACATTAGGACATATGTTTTCTTTTATAGGTGTAGATCAACTTCTCAGATAAAGTTAAACTAGGGACATGAAATGTTCCTAGAAAGATTCACAAACTGGATGCTTGAGTCCCCATTTGGTGGAGTCTGGTGCTTTTTGGAGTGAGTTTGTCACTATGGTCCTGAAAGGTATATTTTGTCCCCGGCTCCTTCCCTGAGTGGGTCTGTGAACTTCAGGAAGTTAGCAGCTTTGTTCATCATCTTCTGCCTTCATGTTTTTGCCACTCTTGGACCTAGATGGCATATGGCTGCATTCTGAAATTTTTTCTTACTTTCATACTATTAATATCAGATATTGTGTCAGATATTATGAAGGGCTGATTTGTACTGTCACACCTGAGATGGGCAGGAAAATTTATATTTTCACCCTATTAATATAAGTGAAATGATGGGGCTCAGAGGTTAAGAGCACTGGTTGCTCTTTCAGGGGGCCTGAGTTCAATTCCTAGCAACTACATGGTGGCTCACAACCATCTATAATGAGTTCTGGTTCCCTCTTCTGGCAGAACACTTTATACATAATAAATAAAATAAACATTTAAAGAAAGTTTTAAAAAATATAAGTGAGATGCAAGTGGCAGTAGTTATTTGGGGAAGGTTTACTCTGTATTCCAAAAATGCACAGTGTAAACTTTTAACTCCAATTGGTAATGAAAAGCAAAGTGATTTAGGCATAATTTAGAAAATTAAATAGTAAATATCTATTCTGAACTCAGCCCAGCTCCTGGCTAGGCATTTAAATAAACACAATCACTCTCAATTCCCACAACATCCTAATGAATGATTATAGCATTTATTTAAATAAAGGAAAATCATAAACATCAGAAACTTTAAGTAATTTCTCCAGTCTTACAAAGGAGCTCAATAATGAAACAGGACTTTATATTCAGCTAATGCTCTGAAACAGTTTACAGAAGGAATTCTCACGACAGAATTTATATGCAATTCTCTTCTGATAAAAAGAAAGGACTGCCTGTATTTCCCTTTTATCCTTCCTACTTGCCTGCTAATGATTACTCAGAGGCTAACCTCTGCCAGCAGCAGAAGCTACGTTGAGTGTATTATATTATATTTTCCCTGTTTTTATTTATTTATCTAGTTATTTAAAGACAAATTTATAATCTGAAGATTTCTAAATTAATTTTTATACACATTTGTCAATAATGAAACATGCTTTCAATCTTGGAATTTAATAAATTACTGAAAAATGAACTTTGGTACTCAACATTTGGGGCAACTTCTTTCATTTTGGTGATTTAAAAAGCTCCTCTAGAATAAAGCTATATATAAACATTAATTTTATTTATCCCATAACATACATTGTTTAAACTATTTTAAGTAATGTTTTGAAAATGCATGTAAATATAAAAATATCAGAATCAGACAGAAAATTTGCTGTATGACCTAACATTACGTCAGCAACTCCAGATAGCACAAATCCACATGGTTTAACCTAATTCTAGCGTAAATTATTATTTTTGAGTTTTCTCAGGAGCATTTTAAGTTTATCTTTATATTATGATATTATGATTATTATTTGAAATAATTTACAAAGATAGATCTTATTAAGGAAATTTCCACTAAAGGCATGCAAAACTGATATAAGGGAAAGATTAATTGATTTATGTAAGACCATGTAAATTTTGTTTCCAAATTAGTTAAATTTTAGCTATGAGATTACATGAAAACTATATAAACACAAAGTATGTATTCTTGTAGCACATTTAAAACATCCTATGATTGTATGTACTATAGTGTGCATGTGTGTAATATATACATGCACACATACATATGTACATACATCTCAATAGATATCCTAATTATATTTATTGTTATGAGCAACTTCAGTAATGAAAGGAGGGTTTATCTGACAAACTGTATGGGGGTACAAAATGTGAAAGGGAAGATACAGAAGCAAAGGCATGAGACAATTGGTCACAATGTATATACAGGTAGGAAACAGAAAGCAATAGAGGCTGGTGTTTAGTTTGCCTTCTCCTTTGTATGCAGTCCAGAATCTAAGACCATGAATGACATCATCCCTATTAAGGGTGAGTGTTTGAACTTCCATTAAGCCATTCTAGCAAATGCCACACAGACAAGCCCAAAGATTTGTATCCTAAGTAATCCCGTATCTTTTCAAGTTTAAATAAATATTAACCATAACAAACCATCTCCAAAACACATCGGTTTTAAGCTTTGAACTCTTGCCTCCATAGGCTCATGCCCATCCCATGATGTAAAATATATTCAATCCAACTTTGAAAGTCTCCATAATCTTTAAAAGTTGAAAAATTCTTTGAAAAATCCAACATCAAAAATCTCTTCTGCAAATCTAATCTTTCAACTGTAAGCCTTATAAAGCCAAAAAACACGTTACAGAGATCTGATACACAACACAACAGCACACAGTAAGCTTCCCATTCTGAAAGGGAATGTAACACAGCAAGAAAAGATCGGATCAAGAGAGGACCTAATCTGAGAAGGAAAAGGCCAGCTGCAGCTACATGTATTGCATCTGGGGTAGTGACGCAGTCAAACTTTTGGAGATATGCTTATATGTGTATGTAGCTTGTGGCACACATTGTTATTCTGCCATTCTGTCATTCTGTCATCCATTCCCTCATTCTGTCTTTCTCCAGTATTTCTGCCTCTCTCCGTGTGTCCCTCTCTCTCCTTATAGGTTTACTTCACACAGCCAGCTTATCCACTCTATCTTTAAGTCCTAGCATTTCTCCTATCCTGGGAACTTCACTGTATTTTAGGCTAGATATTTGCATTTCCACACTATGGTCTTTTTTCAGGGACCCCAGGCCTGCAACACACTGTCTAACCCCAACAAGAAACTATGCTTACGCCTCCATGTTCTCCATACACTCTCATCAATCATTCCTCTAACACCAGTACCTTTTTGATGTTGCTGACAAGTGTTCCTTCAAGGGGCCCCAATCACTTAAGCACAGTTCCATCAGTCTTGGGTTTGTTGTCTGGAAACCATCCCTCTAGATGACTGTGGAGGAACAGCCCATACAGCAGAATCCCCAGTCTGTTCTTAACTTTCATTTGAATTTTCACAGTGGAGCACTGTCTTCCACTCTCTTCCTCTCCCTTCTCCTCCTTCCTAATCCCCTTCTCTCTCCTTTTTTTCTGCCCTCTCCACCCCTGCTCTCTCTGATACAACAATCTGAA